ATCCTCCCACCTCATCCTCCTGAATAGCTGGGACTACAGGCATGCACCACCATGTCCAGCTAATTGTTTTTGCTTTTTTAGAGATGAGAGGAGTCTTGCTGTGTTACCCAGGCTGGTCTCAAGCTACTGGCTTCAAGTGATCCATCCTCCTGGCTTCAGCTTCCGTGGTAACTGGGATTATAGGCACCAGCCACTGTCAATGCATCTCAGTGCATCTCATTCTAATTCAGAATGAGATGAGGGTTAGAGATTAATACCTTAAAAGACTCAAAAGTCAAAGACCAAAATGACCCCAAACTCGCAGATAGACTCCAATCTCTAAAGGCTCAAGGGTTTTCTTCATCTCCCCAGAAGACCTAGGGACATGAGCCTCATCAGCTCTGTCTCTCATCCACCAGCAAGGATACATTTTCAATTGCCTTTGTCATGGCACATGCCTTAATGTGGAATTTTCAAGTTTAGCAAGTGAGGTACCTTTTTCTATTATTTTCATTCATCCTCTATTACTCTCCTTACCCCAACCCGAAAAGGAAGAATCACTGAATGAGCTAAGAGAATTAAAATGATTCTGAAAAATCATCCAGCCTCAAGTTGACACTATTGGTTACATTAGCATATTCTTGATTCCCCATTTCCCAAGAAGGGAGAAAGGAGAAAACTTTATTGGGCTATTAAAAGAAGGTGAGGATGTCAGGTGTCAGTGAACACCCCAGATTTATTGCTGTTATAGAAATAATTATTGATGTACTAATAAAGGTTCATGATGTATACACATTTATGCTTTTTTACCGTGGAAAACTCCATCCTTTAGGTCCCTGGGAGAGTCTTTAAGTGTTTATTCTGTTTTGCGCTTCAAAGCATAGACTGTAGTTTCCAGATATGGTGGTCCACTTCTAGGAATGAATTAGAAAAGATGCAATAAGCATTAGCCAGAATCTTAGGGAATTTGGTAAGAATATACTGCAGGGGACTGAACATGATTTCTGATCTTGAACAGTTCTTTATTTCCTTGATAACCATGTACACATTGTTTTGCTGTTGTTGTTACTGCTTACTTTTTATGCATTCCAAGAGACGTTCCAATTGAAATCATAACGGCAGTTCAGAGAAGGGCAAATGCTCTATGGCCTGGAATAGGGAAAGCTTTATGGAGGAGGTGAGACTAGAGCCCAGTTTTGAAGGATGCGGTAAGAGTTTTACATATTTAGAAGAAGAGGATGAGCCGGGCGTGGTGGCTCACATGTGTAATCCTAGCACTTTGGGAGGCTGAGGCAGGCGGATCACCTGAGGTCAGGAGTTCAAGACCAGCCTGACCAACATGGAAAAACCCTGTCTCTACTAAAAATACAAAAAATTACCCTGGTGTGGTGGTGCATGCCTGTAATCCCAGCTACTCAGGAGGCTGAGGCAGGATAATTGCTAGAACCCAGGAGGCGGAGGTTGCAGTGAGCCAAGATGGCACCATTGCACTCCAGCTTGGCAACAAGAGGGAAACTCCATCTCAAAAGAAACCAAAAAAACAAAAACAAAAACCCCAAAACAACAACAACAAAAAGAGGACGATAACAAAGTGGCGAGACTGAGAACAGCACAGTGAGGAAGACCCGGGGTTATGACTGAGTGAAGCACCCTGGAGAGTGTTTAAAGAAAGAGGAAATTCCACTTGTGCCTGTGAGGGGTGTGTATTTTGAATTTGTGATAAATATCCTTGACCTAGTGATAAGAGCAAATCTGGTTAAAAGTTAGAAACTCTGGGAAAAAAAAATACTTTTTAATGGTTTTCCATCTACTTGGTAGGAATTAAATATTATGAATTTTTAGGAGAGTAATGATGAAAATGCATAAAGATACAGTGGCCCACACTTGTTGCTATCTTTAGGACTCCAAATAATTTCTAATGTCTTTGCAATAGAAAGATAAGCATCACAGTATACTATTCTTACTCACAAGGGAAAGCAGCAGGTCTAGTACGATCCTAAAATGCAAAGATGAGATGCATTTTTTGCCTCCAGAGGGCACTGCTGTTTTCAAAAAAGAAGGATGACTTCATCTGATTGACCATGGGCTTTTGCTTTAAATGCTGCACCTGTTTCTGTCGTCAGGCCAGGTTTTACAGGCCTATGGATGGCCAAACAAGGAGCATAGTGTCCTAAACATTCCATCTCTTCCATTTTAAAAACGGCGATAACCACAAAAGCCTTGCCAGCTTTCCATCACTGCTTCCTACTGTGTTTCCTTCTCTTCAAAAGCAGCCAAACTTCTGGAATGAGTAGTGGATTCTCCTCCTGCCTGCCTGTCCACTCAGCCTACTATAACCTGGTTCCCCGCCTCATCCCCAGCACTCTTTTGAAACTGCCAGTGGCCAGACATGGTGGCTCACACCTGTAATCCCAGCACTTTGGGTGGCAGAGGCAGAAGGATTGCTTGAGCTCAGGAGTTCGAGACCAGCCTGGGCAACATGGCAAGAACTCATCTCTACTAAAAATACAAAAAGTTAGCTGCTCATATTGGCACATGCCTACAGTTCCAGCTACTTGGGAGGCTGAGGTGGGAGGATCACTTGGTGGGAAGTTTAGGCTGTAGTGAGCTGTGGTCATGCCACTGCACTCCAGCCTGGGCAACAGGAGTGAGACCCTATCTCAAGAAAACAGAGAGAAACTGCTCAGCAGAATCCTCCATGTGGTTAATGCCAGTGGGCTATCTTCTGTCCATCTTCACCGAACCACTTTCTATAGTATCTCACTCCTTCATTCCTGAAATTCTGCTTTCTTGGCTTCTCCTATGCCATCTTCCCTTGGTTCTTTTGTTACCCTTCACTTTGCCTTTACAGGCCTTTTCTTTGAGTTCACTTCCACCATCCACCCCTTAATTGTTTGCCCCAGGATTCTATCTAAGGCATTTGTCATCTCATTCTACATACTCTCCAGGATTGATCTTATCTACTACCACGGCTTCAACTCACCAACTGCAAATATGACTCTTGTATCTGTATTTCTAGGCCATGGCTCTTCTGAGCCTCATTTTTCAACTCCACCTAGAGGTCCCACAGCCCCCTCAAATAACACCTGCAAAAGGACACCTCTTATCTCCTGGTCCCTAATTCTCCATCCCACTCCCACCAAATCCATACTTTATCTCCTGGATTCTGCAGCTCGGTACATGATATACCATTTATGCACTAAAATCAGAAATCTAGGAACTTTCCCCAAGCGTTTTTTGTTTCATATCTAACTCATCTCTGGGACCTGACCACGTAAATCACTTTCAAATATGCCCCTACCTTCCTCACCTACTGACACGGCTTCACTTCAGGGTCTCAGCACCTTTTGCCTGAGGTGTGGCAGTATACTCTTTGAAAACATTTAAATGTACCTAATTTTACATTTTATTGTTTGAATAGGTATTACATGTAGATGGTTCCAATTTGGAAAGTGTAAAAGGTTTCCTCCTATCTCCCTCAGTAAATTCCCTGTCCAGAGTCAATCAGTGCTTCTCCTGTATTCTTCCAGAGTCATTTTTACATGAAAGGTAGTAGCTTATACACACACTTCTGCATCTTATCTTTCCCACTTCATGTATCCTAGAGATCTTTGCATATTAGCACATAGAGAGCTTCTTCATTTTCCCACTGCCCATTGTATTCCGCTGTATAGATATACTATTATTAAACTGCTAGTCCCCCTATTTGTGGACATCAAAGAGTTCCCTATCTTTTGCTATTGTAAACAAGGCTGTAAAGAACATCTTTGTACACAGATCACTTCACACAGGGGCTAATCTATCAATGGGACAAATTCCTAGAAGTGGAACTCCAGAACCAAAAAGTATATGCAGTTGTAATTCTGACAGTACTGCCAAACTGTTCACAGTAACGACTGACCCAGTCAGTCCAGTCTTACCGGCCATGTGCAAAAACCTTATCTCGGGCCTGTCTGCCGCCACTCATCCCTGTTTGTAAATGTGTCCTCTACACCCTTGTCAGCACCATATTTGTTAAATGCAAATCTGGCAAGTCATTCTCTTGCTTCCCCTGCTTACAACCCTGATCTTCAAGGCCTTTCACCATCTAAACCTGTGCTATCCAAGGTGTACTATCAGCCTCACGAAGCTACTGAGGCTACATGTGACCAGTCTAAATTGAGATATAATGTAAGTATAAGAAAAACACTGGGTTGCAAAGACATAGTATGATAAAAAGAATGTAAAAATCTCATTACATGCTGAAATGATTAAGTTTTGGATACATCAAGTTAAATAACGTAATTAAAATTAATTTTATGTGTTTACCCTTTAAAAAATACGGCTGCAAAAATGTTAGAATGCACATACTGGCTCCCATTGTGTTTCTGTTGGACAGTGGCCACCTAGGAAGGCCCTCTGTCCCTCATCCCCTCACCCACCTCCTCTCCTCCCAGGCCCCAGGCCCCTTCTGTGCTTCAGATCACAGTGGTCCCTGAGCCCGGGGTGCTTTCCCCGCCAACCCTCGGGTGCTTTCACCCCCACACTCTTACTAAGATTCTGCTTGAAACTTCCTCTTGGAGACCTTGAAGAGGTTTTGCTTCTTGGTTCACAGGCCTGCCTCTCCTCACCCGCCCTTGACGTCAGGGCTTTGCTCTGCTCCTTGGGCAGCAAGAAACAATTCAGTGCTGTTGGTTAAATCAAGCAATGGAGGAGAAAAGCCCCCAGAAGGCTGTCTAAAGTAGAGCTGCAGGGAGGGAATAGTTAACAGGTCACAATTACCATATGAACACATTGAAATTTTCAAAAATGGGTAAGTTTAACATGGATTCAGAATGTGAATTACTTTTCAGCATCATATAACAGTGATAACAGCAGTAAGAGTTACAAAGAGTAAGAAACACAGAAGGAACTTTCTTTGCATAGTCTACTCACAAGGGAGGCCTGGCCCCCGGGACCCGGGTCTGCGCTCCCTTTCCCCCCACCCCGCCCCCCGAGCCTGCAGGAGAGGGGACCCCAGGGCCCAGGGGCACCCCCTTACCAGGAAGACCGCTCGCCGGGCGCGGACTGCACAGGGAGGAGGGGGAAACGGCTCTGCCGGGAACAGGGAGGGACCTCCAGGGAAGCGAAACCGAAACTTTGCGTCCAGTCGGCCGGGCGGGCGGCGCCTTTATCTCAGTCGGGGCCCAGCTGCGTCCCGGAGTCCCCGCGCCCTCCCGACGCGCAGAGCCATGGCCTTCAGCCCGCGACCGCCGTCCCCGCTCCTCGTGCGGGTGTCCCGGTCCGGCCCCCGGATACGGAGGAAGCTGGAGAGCTACTTCCAGAGCCAGCGGCACTCCGGCGGCGGGGAGTGCCACGTTCGGCCCCAGGAAGGCGCCGCCCCAGGCACCTTCCAGGTGAAGTTCAGTGAAAGGGCAGGTGAGCTGCGGGCGGCCGGGCTGCGAAAGCCGTCCCTGGGGGCCAGGCCCGGGTCTCCTGGCGGGCCCAGTTCAAGCTGATCGAGGGGAGAGGGCGGGAGAAAGTATGGTGGCACTGTGCGGTGGGGGACAGGGACGGGCCCTGCTGCCCAGAGACTCACCGAGACTGTGGGCGCTCGGTGGAGGATCGGCCCTCACATGTGCCCGGTGCGGGTCTGGCTGAACGCGCCTTCGTGCGGATGCTTTCCATATCCTCAACCTATCTTAACTTCTCAGCTGTTGTCTTCCTTCCCCCAGATGCCTGCCAGCAGCCGCTGTCCTTGTCATTCAGGGATTCCACTTTTATTTTATTTCGTATTTTTTGGGGGGCTCTAGTACTTGCCAGGGATTCCACTTTTATGTTTTGAATAATGGGTCCCATTGTTCCATCCATGAACAAAAGGATGTTCCATTTTATGTTTTTGAGGATTACAAAAGTGATATATGCTCACTATAGAAAAGGGAAAAGAATTTAAAAAAAGAAAGAAACAAACCAGGAGATAAACAGTGTGACCATTTGGCGTATTTCCTTCTTGCCCTGGTTTTTTGTTGTTGTTGTTGTTGTTGTTGTTGTTGTTGGGTTTTTTTTTTTTTTTTTTTTTTGAGATGGAGTTTCGCTCTTGTTACCCAGGCTGGAGTGCAATGGCGCGATCTCGGCTCACCGCAACCTCCGCCTCCTGGTCTCAGGCAATTCTCCTGCCTCAGCCTCCTGAGTAGCTGGGATTACAGGCACGCGCCACCATGCCCAGCTAGATTTATTGTATTTTTAGTAGAGACGGGGTTTCACCATGTTGACCAGGATGGTCTCGATCTTTCGACCTCGTGATCCACCCGCCTCGGCCTCCCAAAGTGCTGAGATTACAGGCTTGAGCCACCGCGCCCGGCTGTTTTTTTTTTTTTTTTTTTTTGAGACGGAGTTTCGCTCTTGTTACCCAGGCTGGAGTGCAATGGCCTGATCTCGACTCACCGCAACCTCCGCCTCCTGGGTTCAGGCAATTCTCCTGCCTCAGCCTCCTGAGTAGCTGGGATTACAGCCACACGCCACCACGCCCGGCTAATTTTTTGTACTTTTAGTAGAGATGGGGTTTCGCCATGTTGACCAGGATGGTCTTGATCTCTTGACCTCGTGATCCACCCACCTCGGCCTCCCAAAGTGCTGGGATTACACTTGCCCTGTTTTATGAATGTCAGCAGACACATATGTATTTGTAAAATTCAGAATCTGCACTCTTGATTCCTGCTGTTGTCACTTTCCTGTATAAAGAGTATTGAAATGGGAGACTGGGCCAGGTGGGGTGGCTCATGCCTGTAATGCCAGCACTTTGGGAGGCTGAGGTTGGTGGATCATCTGAGGCCAGGAGTTCCAGACCAACCTGGCCAACATGGCGAAACTCTGTCTCTACTAATAATACAAAAATTAGCTGTATGTGGTGGTGCTCACCTGTAGCCACAGCTACTCCGGAGGCTGAGGCAGGAGAATTGCTTGATCAGAAGGCAGAGGTTGCAGTGAGACGAGATCACATCATTGCACTCCAGCCTGGGTGACAGAGTGGGACTCCATCTCAGGAAGGAAGGAAGGAAAGAAGGAAAGGAAGGGAGGGAGGGAGGGAGAAAAGGAGAAACTGGAGACAGTTTCAGAAACATGACATTTAATGAGTGGACAGTGTTACGTTGTCATTAAGCCAAACTTAATCGGCACACTTTAGAGCTCTGAATAGTTCCCCTACTTCCTCCATTGCCAGCCCACCACTCCAGGATGCAGGTAGCAGCCTTACTGGGAGGTGCTGGGGCAGGATACAGACACAGGAATGAGAGGATTACTTGAAATCTCTCCAATGTTTATGTATGTATATGTGTGTGTTTAATGTCTCCACTGAAGCTAAGGAGAGAGTGTTGAAAAAAGGAGAGCACCAAATGCTTGTTGATGACGAACCTATGCCCATTTTGCTGGTACCCACTGAAAACTCAATAAAGAAGAATACAAGACCCCAAATTTCTTCACTGCCACAGTCACAAGCAGAAACACTGTCTGGTGATACACATCAAAATGAAGGACAGACTCCTAATGCTGTGGATTCCTGTCTCCAAAAGGTGAGTATTGAAAGAAGGAGCTGACTGTCCCTGCGCTTCCTCTCCAGTCACCAGCCTCAGGTGTTATTGGTCCAACACCCACATGGGCACATACATGGGAGCCAGGCATTGTTTTAGGCACTGGACACAGAGATGAAGACAACAGACAAGATCCCTGCTCTCAGGCAGCTTATATTAGGGGCCAGGGCATGCACAGAAAGACAGTAGGCAAGTAAAGAAAGTAAATAAATAAAACCATTTATTCCATCCTGGCCAATATGGTGAAACCCTGTCTCTACTAAAAATACAAAAAAGTTAGCTGGGTGTAGTGGCACACACCTGTAGTCCCAGCTACTTGGGAGGCTGAGGCAGGAGAATTGCTTGAACCCGGGAGGGTTCAAGAGCTGACATTGCACCACTGCACTACAGCCTGGGCAACAGTGCGACTCTGATTCAAAAAAAAAAAAAAAACAACAACAAAAAATCCCCATTTTATTTATTTGGAGAGAAACAGGGCCGGGGGAGCAAGGGGAAGATGGGAGTAGTGTTACTTATTTTTTTTTTACCCCGAGACAGAGTCTCGCTTTATCACCCAGGCTGGAGTACAGTGGCACAATCATGGCCCACTGCATCCCTGACCTCCTGGGCTCCAGCAATCTGCCCGCTTTTGCCTTCCAAAGTGCTGGGATTACAGTCACGAATTACCGCGCCTGGCCTGGTGCTACCTCTAACCAGAAGTCAGAGACAGCTTGACTGAGGAGGTGACATTTGGCCTGAAGCTTGAATGATGACAAGATTCATTCAAAAATAGATATCGACTGTGTACTGTGTTTCAGGCACTGTTACAGGAGCTGGGGAGGCAGCCAGGAACGTGGCAGACTCTGCTTCCAGGGACAGCACCTTCTTGTGAGAGAAACAGACAATATTAGTAAACAAATAGACATATAATGAAATGTCTGCCAGTCATACCTGCTAGGAAGACAAATAAGAAAGATAAGTGACAGAAGTGACAGAACCACCATTTAGAATGGGATGTCTGGAAAAACCTCAAGTGAGGTGACATCTCTACCTAAGCGGATTTCTCAGGGGGTAACGTCCTATAGGGAAGCATAGGTGCAAAGGCCCCAAGAGCCAACATTCTGAGGCCCAGAAACTTTAAGAAAGCCAGTGGCCGGGAGTAGGGGGAGCAAGGAAGAGAGGTGCTAGGAACTCAGCAAGTTACCCAGCAGACATACAGGTCTTTGGGGCTGAAGGTAAGGACTTCGGCTTTTTAACTTAAAATGTTGGGGGATTCATCAGATTGGTTTTGAGCCAGGGAGAGGGCGATCTGGTTTATATTTCTAAAGGGTCACTCTGGCTGCTGTTGGGAAACTGAACGTAGGAAGGAGCTAGAATGGAAAGTTAGAGCTGAGTTAGGAGGGGTTGCAGTGTGCAAGGTGAAAGATGATAATGGTGTGGACTCTGGGTGGTCCTAATGGGGGTGTGAGAAATGGCTGGATTCAGGAAACATTCTGAAGATCTGGAGGAAGGATCTTACATGCCAAGTCCTTAAGAGGGAACAAAACATTAGAAATTTTGCTTTTTATATTACACTCAATTTGCCTCTGTCCTTTTTATCTTAATCTGGCATGTCTTATATTTGAGCTTCTAAAGACCAGGGTTTAGAAGGGCCCAGCAACTTTGCGTGCAGTTGGGTGTTTAGTTGAAAAAAGAAAAAAGGAGGAGTGAAGAAGAGAAAAAAAAGTAACAGGAAAAGCCCTTTCCTCATAAAAGCCCATAAAAAAAGTTTTATGGCTCCCTTCCAAGCTCACAGACTTTTTTCCAGGGCCACAACAACTTACCCAGAGAGCACAAGTGCCTTCCCTGGACTGCTGTTCCCAAGATCAAACAGATAGTGGAAGTTGTAGAACACAGATATCTTGGCCATGGAGCTTTTAGAAATGCTCATGCCCAGGCCCCGCGGCAGACAGTTAACATCAGAATCTCTGGGGATGCGCCCGGGCTTTGGCTGTTTTGTTTTTCCCTGAACTCGCCAGGTGATTCTTATATCCAGACAGGGCTTAGAACCTCTGGGATGTAGCATGCTGCATCCTCTAAAAAGGATTTGAGGCTGGACACAGTGGCTCACGCCTGTAACCCGAACACTTTGGGAGGCCGAGGCGGGTGGATCACCTGAGGTTGGGAGTTCAAGAAGAGCCTGACCAACATGGAGAAAACCTGTCTCTACCAAAAATACAAAAATTAGACAGGCGTGGTGGCGCATGCCTGTAATCCCAGCTACACAGGAAACCGAGGCAGGAGAATCGCTTAAACCCAGAAGGTGGAGGTTGCAATGAGCTGAGATCACGCCATTGGACTCCAGTCGGGGCAACACTAGCGAAACTCAAATAAATAAATAAATAAATAAATAGAAATAAATAAAATGGATTTGAAAGAAGTCACCCCCTGCTTAGGGAAGATGTAGTGGTTGTTTCTCTAGTCTCTAGGCATTCTCCTGAAGAAAAGACTGTAGGCCTGCATGCTGAGAAGTTTTATTTGTTCCTGTTCCTTTTAAAATTTCAGATTTTTCTTACTGTAACAGCTGACCTGAACTGTAACCTGTTCTCCAAAGAGCAGAGGGCATACATAACCACACTGTGCCCTAATGTCAAAAAAATGGAAGGTCCTAATGGAATTGAGAAGGTGTATGGTGACTTCCAAGACATTGAAAAAATACATCAGTTTTTGAGTGAGCAGTTCCTGGAAAGTGAGCGGAAAAAGGAATTTTCCCCTTCAGTGACAGAGAGGAAGCCACTCAGTCAGCAGGACAGGGGCAGCTGCATTTCTCCTTCTGAACCAAAAAACAAGGCAGAAGAAAAAAGCAACTGTTTTGAAGTTCCCTTGCCTTACTTTGAATACTTCGAATTTATCTGTCCCGATAAAATCAACTCAATAAAGATAAAATTTGATGTAAACATTAAAATCCAGGAGAGTTCTCCAAATATGGTCTGTTTGGATTTCACCGCAGATCAATCAGATGACCTAGAAGCAGCTCGTGAGTCTTTTGCTAGTGAATTTCAGAAGAATACAGAACCTCTGAAGCAAGAATGTGTCTCTTTAGCAGACAGTAAGCAGGCAAATCAAATCAAACAGAAATTGAATCACCTGTTTACAAAGCTCCTTATAAAGGAGAAAGGAAGAGAATTAACTCTCCTTGGGACCCAAGATGACATTTCAGCTGCCAAACAAAAAATCTCGGAAGCTCTTGACAAGGCACCTGTGAGACTATTGACTGCCAGTTGGATGACGAACGGAATTGAAGTTGATAGTGCTCGCTATAAGCTTTTAAAAGCTGAATTACTACGGGAGATATCAGAGATCGAAAAAAGGTATGACACTTGCATCAAGGTTTTTGAGAAAGGTCAGAAAACCTGCATTCTGTTTGAATCCAAGGACAAGCAGGTAGATCTATCTGTGCATGCTTATGCAAGCTTCATCGATGCCTTTCAACATGCCTCATGTCAGCTAATGAGAGAAGTTCTTTTACTGAAATCTTTGGGCAAGGAGAGAAAGGACTTACATCAGATCAAGTTTGCTGATGACTTTAGAAAAAGACATCCAAATGTACACTTTGTGCTAAATAAGGAGTCAATGACTTTGATTGGTTTGCCAAATCACCTTGCAGAGGTGAAGCAGTGTATTCTAAAAGGAGGAGGAACGGCTTCATTGGCTGGAGAGAAATTGAATGAGGCTCGTGAAACACCGATGGACATTGATAGTGATGATTCCAAAGCAGCTTCTCTGCCACTCAAGGGCTCTGTGAGTTCTGAAGCCTTAGAAGACAAGAAGGAAAAGGGCTTCTGTGTCATCTGTCTGGACACCATCAGTAACAAAAAAGTGCTACCAAAGTGCAAGCATGAATTCTGCACTCCTTGTATCAACAAAGCCATGGAATATAAGCCAATCTGTCCCTCATGTCAGACTTCCTATGGTGTTCAGAAAGGAAATCAGCCAGATGGAAGCATGAATGTCCGAGTTTTAAGAGAGTCACTTCCAGGTTATGATTCCTGCGGCACCATTGAGATTAATTACAACATGAGAGGAGGCACACAAACAGTAAGTATTTCTGAGGTCCCTGGTTTCTTGCCACTACGCTACGATTACTAGAGCAAAAGAGACTGTCCTATTGCCTATTAGACAGTAGATTTCCCAAGGAATTATCTCCATGGTCATACACAAGGGACTGAAATAGTTAAAGGTCACAGAGTTTGCTGATGACTCAAATAAATTTTTGTCTGTTTCTGAAGACAGAGAAAGGGTGGGTTGAGATTATATCTTGAGTAGGCGGGTGGGGTGGGGTAGGGTCAGGAAAGTGGACAGTGTTCCCAGCATGAATTCAAGGAAAGAGGAGAAATAGCTAGGCACAGTGGCTCAAGCCTGTAATCCCAGCACTTTGGGAGGCCGAGGCGGGTGGATCACGAGGTCAAGAGATTGAGACCATCCTGGTCAACATGGTGAAACCCCGTCTCTACTAAAAATACAAAAAATTAGCTGGGCATAGTGGTGCGTGCCTGTAATCCCAGCTACTCAGGAGGCTGAGGCAGGAGAATTGCCTGAACCCAGGAGGCGGAGGTTGCGGTGAGCCGAGATCGCACCATTGCACTCCAGCCTGGGTAACAAGAGCAAAACTCCGTCTCAAAAAAAAAAAAGAGGAGAAATATGAGTTATTGGGAATATGAGCAAAACTTCAATACTTTTCTTGCTTTTGATTTGCTTTATCTACAAATGAACACATCTATGCATACAGAAAAATTTAGACAGCGTGCTATTTTCACACAATATTTTCTTGTTCTCACACAGAAGGAGCACCCAAACCCAGGAAAGAGCTACTCTGGAGTACATCGAACTGCATACTTGCCTGATAATAAGGAAGGAAGGAAGGTTTTGGAACTGCTTCGTAGGGCCTTTGAGCAAAAGCTGATTTTTACAGTGGGGAACTCTCGAGTATTAGGAATCTCAGATGTCATCACTTGGAATGATATTCACCACAAAACATCCAAACTTGGAGGCCCAGAAAGGTGAGAGAGCCTTTTGGGATGTAATGGCTGCTCAACAGAGTATAGGGATTATGAAATACGACAATTTCTGGATGTGGATATAAGGAGAATCTATAGCAGTGGTACTGGGTGTAGTAAAGTATTTTGAGAGATGCTAACCGGGGATGATAATTTCAGAGACAGAAAGATTGGTCCCCATCAGTTTCCACCCTGCCAACTATAAAGTATTATGGAGTTATTTAAATTTTGCACCAAAGGGCAGGGGGTTTTTAAATCCAAGATGAATACTATATATGCTGATTTAATTTGAGGCTTCATGTCTATTTGAAGACTAGATCCTTGGACTGTTACTTTGCTTTCTTTTAAGGCCACCTTTCTTTTTCCCCGGGTCCTCCACCAGTCCACAGAGAACCGGAAATCACTTGGTAATAATATTCTAGGAAAGAGTCTAAGTTTTGAGGAGGCTATTAGTAGAAACTGTGTTACAGGAAATCCGATTGTTCTTTATGAAACCCAGATCCTTGGTACTAAAGAAAATATATACCCTGAGACTTTTTCAAAACCTTAAATTTGAAAATTCTACTAGCATGTGATTACAATGCCCCATGAAACACAGTATATTATTGTATCTTTATGAGAGTCACTCCTTGCCACTACCAAATTTTTAAACTGAAAAATTTTAAGAATTAACACAGACATGAAGCTTCAAATTAAATCAACTTATTTACCATTCATCTTGGATTCTAAATCCCTTTGCCCTTTGATGCGAAATGTAGTCACTACATCACATTAATGCTTTGTAGTTGTCAGGGTAGAAGCCAGGTTGAAAGGCGGATGTTGGCCAGACAGCTAGGCTCACTTGCTAGCTAAATGACTCATATCTACAAACTTAAAAGTTGTGATACATCATCCACCTTCAGGATTACTTGTGCATGTTTGCGACACTTTATATTAAATCCTTAAATGCTGAATATCTGTTGCACATATCAGAACCATTTGTGGTGATGCTAAAGGAATTTTTCTTTCTCCAGTTATGGCTATCCTGATCCTTCTTACCTGAAACGCGTCCAAGACGAGCTGAAAGCCAAAGGAATTGAGTAAGAAAACTGGTGGAAGATGTCTTAAATCAGCCTCCTAAAATATATATATATATTTTAGGAGGCTGATTTAATGCCAATCTAAATCCTTACGCAGAAAAAACTTTGAAATTTTTCATTTCAAGAAATGGTTCATATAAGAATAAGAATCTGCTAGTTTGTCATTTTGGGGGTGATACTTTTTATGGGAGACAAAAGCCTCCCCAAATCTGTGTAAAATCTGCTGCACAGGTGTCATGTCTCCTGTGTCATCACTGGGGTTAGAGGTGGATCTGAAATCATCTTCTATGTCCCTCGGTTGGAGTATCAGCTGCCAATTGATCCCTTTTTCATTGCCATCTCTGGGGTGCTCCTTTAGTTTTTTTGTTTGTTTTCCCCTTCATACCTGTGAAAGTGAAATTCTATTGTAAATGGTGGCGGGGGGAAATGTTCAGTTGTAGAAAATCAAAGACCCATATTCCCCTTTCTTCCTCATGGCAAGAAAAGCAGCCATGAGCAGAGACTGGGAAAGCACTGGTAATAAATAGAGTAAGGCTATTATAATTATTAGTATTTTTTTGAGATGGAGTCTCGTTTTGTCGCCCAGGCTGGAGTGATCTTGGCTCACTACAACCTCTGCTTCCTGGGTTCAAGCAATTCTCCCACCTCAGCCTCTCCAGTAGCTGGGATTACAGGTGTGTGCCACCACACCCAACTAATTTTTTGTATTTTTAGTAGAGACATGATTTGCCATGTTGATCAGGCTGATTTCAAATTCCTGAACTCAAAGGATCCTCCTGCCTCAGCCTCCCAAAGTGCTGGGATTACAGGCATGAGCCACCACACCCACCCAAGACTATCTTTTTTTTTTTTTTTTTTTTTTTTTTTTTTTGAGACAGAGTCTTGCTGTGTCGCCAGGCTGGAGTGCAGTGGCGTAATCTTGGCTCACTGCAGCCTCCCCCTCCTGGGTTCCAGCGATTCTTCTGCCTCAGCCTCCCAAGTAGCTGGGACTACAGGCCTGTGCCACCACACCCGGCTAATTTTTGTATTTTTAGTAGAGAGGGGGTTTCATCATGGCGAGAATGGTCTCGATCTCTTGACCTCATGACCTGCCTGCCTCGGCCTCCCAAAGTGCTGGGATTACAGGCGTGAGCCTAGTACATAGTTGGAATATAGCTGGTGCCTGTCTTAGTCTGTTTGTGTTGCTATAAAAGAACACCCAAGACTGGGTAATTTATAAAGGAAAAGGATTTATTTGGCTCTCAATTCTGCTGGCTAGAAAGTTGGGCATCTGGTGAAAGCCTCAGGCTGCTTCCGTTCATAGCAAAGGCAAAGGGCAGCCAGTGTGTGCGGAAATCACATGGCAGAGAGGAAGTGAGAGAGAGGTGCAGGGGAGGTGCCAGGCTTTTTTTAAACAACCAGTTCTTCAGGAACTAAGTGAGAACTCAGTCACACCCCTGAGAATAGCACCAAACCATTCACGGGGGATCTGCCCCCACAACACCTCTCATTAGGCTTCACCTCCAACACTGAGGATCAAATTTCAGCATGAGATTTGGAAGAGGTCAAACAGACAAACTATAGCCATGCTTCATAAAGTTGTGTTGCCTGACTCAGGTTGCTAGTAAACCAGCAGAGGGATATTTGCCTCCTAAATCTCTGGCAGAGGCAGGAGTAGGGAAATCGTTTCTAGAGTCCTCACTACTAATTTGGAAAACTGAGCTTCTTTCTTTCATTGCTTTTTTCCTTAAGAGACAAGGCCTTACTTATATTGCCCTGTCTCTTAAGGGAAAACATCAAGACTGGACTTGAACTCCTGGGCTCGTCATCCTCCCACCTCGGCCTCTCGAATAGCTGGGATTATAGGCACGTGCCACTGTGCCTGGTTTGAGCCTGGACTCTGACCAGGCCCTTCACTTGAGCCTTTGCTTTCTGTTCCTTGTAAACTGCCATATTGGGTGCGCTTTCCCTGCCACAGTAATACTACAAATTTCTGAACATTATTTTTCTCTAGATATTTTTGTACTTTTGAGTATACTACACTTCCAAGTATTCTTTGTTTATTTTGTTGTTGTTCTGAGACAGGGTCTCACTGTGTCCCCCAGGCTGGAGTGCAGTGGCACAATCCCGGCTCACTGCAGCCTCAACCTCTTGGGGCCAAGTGATGCTCCTATCTTAGCTTCTCAAGTAGCTGGGACCACAGGCATGCACCACCATGCCTGGCTTTTTTTTTTTTTTTTTTTTTTCTCTAGAGATGGGGTCTCCCTGTGTCGCCCAGGCTGGTCTCAAACTCCTAGGTTCAAGGGATCCTCCTGCCTTGAGCTCCCAAAGTGTTGGGATTACAGACATGAACAACCATGCCCATCTTACTTCCAAGTTTAACAGACAAAATAAACTTGCTTTAGTTTCCATCTCTATCATTTTAATAATAACTGTAGCCCACATTGTGGTAGTTTTTTATCCCTTTACTAAGTACCACCAATTCATGTTTTCACCCTTAAAAATCTTTCTCACTGATACTCTCTCTGGACAGAAAAAAGGTGAAGTAAGCCTACTATAATGAATATATGACATGTCAAATTTTATTTTTAAATGGTTCTTCAAGTCAGATTAAAGTAATAAAAGCAAATTATGTGATTATCCATGGCCCACCCTCTCTCCAAAAATGGTAAACAAGATGTCTTCTTTTTTTTCCCAAAGATATACATACACATGTACAAATTTTTTTTTTTTTTTTTTTTTTTTTTTTTTTGAGACGGAGTTTCGCTCTTGTTACCCAGGCTGGAGTGCAGTGGCATGATCTCGGCTCACTGCAACCTCCGCCTCCTGGGTTCAGGCAATTCTCCTGCCTCAGCCTCCTGAGCAGCTGGGATTACAGGCACGCGCCACCATGCCCAGCTAATTTTTGTATTTTTAGTAGAGACGGGGTTTCACCATGTTGACGAGGTTGGTCTCGATCTTTTGACCTCGTGATCCACCCACCTCGGCCTCCCAAAGTGCTGGGATTACAGGCGTGAACCACTGCACCCGGCCTTACAAATTTTTTGTCACATAAATTTACCCTGTCTTAAATAGCTAATATTTAGTGAGTACTTATTTTGTCCCCTTTATAAGAGCTTTACATCCATGTGATTGATACCATTCAAATTCTTATTTTATAACTGAGAAAACTGGTGCACAGAGAGGATAAGCAACTTGCCAAAGTCACACAGTTAATAAGTGGAAATGCTGGGATATGAACCAGGTAGTCTCCCCCCATATCTCTGCCCCCCAGAGCTGTACTGTCTCCCATGAGGGTGCTTCATGGAGCAGGCTGAGGCGATCCCTTTGCTCTGGGCTTCTCTGAGAAATGGATTCCCACACAGTACTCAAAGCAAATCTCCCCAGAGGAAATCCTATTTGAAGAACCTAAAAACTCTGAATCTTTTTCTTTGTCCAGAGAGTTGATGAAGCTTAAGCTAAATGATACATGTCTTTAAAAAAAATTAGATAATAAATGTAGTTTTTGGTGATTCATTAAATTCTTTACCATTATGGTTATTTTCTAGCTATTCATCTTTCAGCTAAATTTGTTCCAAAGAAGCAAAAGTTTGGTTTCTGCTAAGTTCTGGATGGGAGATTTAACTGTGTATGACATGCAAGCTTCATGGTATGGGTGACTGGAGAGCATTTGGGTTACTGCTTTTACTCCTTGGAAGGTGTTATCATCTGTATCTGCTTTAAATAAAGTTAAAGATTTGGAACAAATTATGTTCTTTCCCTCACTTCTTTTTTTTGCCCCTTAGGTTGAGATTCTGGGTGTTTCCTACAACACGTACGGGATACGGTTGTATAACATGTGCATGGAGGTCTTTGGTGGATTTTGTGTGTAACTGCTTCCTAAATATTACCACAGTACAACTTAACTAATCTTGACTTCACTGCTGTTACTTTTGGCTGTGAAAATCACATTTCTCAATAGTTTTTCCTTATAACACATAGGTTATAAAGATAAAAGTAGGCTGAAGATTTCCTCTCTTCTCTTCTGGAGAAAGCATATGTAATACCCTACCAAACTATACGTGCCCCCTCTTTGCTTCTAGAGGTTCTGTTTCACCTCTCCAACATTGGTGCTGAATTACTCAGACAGCTCATTGAGCACTGTTAGATCAGGGGCACGCTCCTCTCCAAAGAAAAAATAAAATAATAATGCTGACATATTTGATGCTTCCCTGAAAATAGCATCAAAGTAGTCATTAGGAGAAAATTAAGATCTTTATTGGACTTCCTTATGCTTAATAGTTTGGTATTGACAAAAATTAGCCAGGCATGGGTGATGCACATCTGTAATCCCAGCTACTTGGGAGGCTGAGGCATGAGAATCGCTTGCACCCGGGAGGCAGAGGTTGCAGTGATCTGGGATCATGCCACTGTACTCCAGCCTGGGTGACAGAGCGAGACTCCATCTCAAAAAAAAAAAAAAATTTTTTTTTAGTATTGGTTTTGATTTGATTTCCATATGGAAATTAGGTACTTTTTTTTTTATTGATTGGGTCATTTTTATTGATCAGATCTAAAACATACAGCTTGAGGCAAAGATTAAGATATTAATAATTTTGGGAGTCCAGGCCCAAGGACAAACAGAAGCGAAGCAAAGTAAGATGTAATGTAATGCAGTGCTGTGTTATCACCCTGGTTACTGCTTCACAATGAGCCTGATGCTGCTGGTCTGGGAATTACATTTAGAGATCCATTGGCCTAGAAAATAGAGTTTAAGCAGCATGAACATTAGAGATTTCTTTTTTTTTTCTTTTTTTTTTTTTTTTTCAGCAACTGGACTTTAATGAATTAACTTTGTTAAAAGTGTTTTGAACAGATATGCAAGTAAAAACACACACATTAAAAATGAACTAAAACATTCTTCCTCTCCATAAGCACTTCTTAGAATAGCCATGATTAAGTTTAATATATAGAATTTAAAAACCAAGTGACTAACAAATTTTTGTACAGTTAAACTTGAGATACATACAGTTATTGTCCTAATATTGGATATGTTCTCTTGACATTTAATTTGTTATTCCTATTGGTAGGTTTGCCTTTTTAAAGTTTTCCTAGGAGAAAGTATAAGAAAAAAGTATCCAGATTACCTACCATTTTTGAACATTACAGGAATAGCAGTTTTGAGATAGCTCAATTTTGAAAAACAGTGACAAAATGCTGGAGTGTGAATTTAATTTTCAGTATCGCTTTTTTGAAAAGGATTTTTTTTCATTTTGTTTAATAAAAAATAAGTATATGAAAAATAATTTTGTCTTGGCATTGGCGGGCTGAGATCTATGGTGCTCACAAATTCAATAAAAAAGAGTGTCTGCTTTAAGAGATCAACTCTAACGTAACATGAAAGAGAGAAGCCAGCTGTGGGACATCCCAGTGTGCTTAGATAATCCCTCAGGTTTTACTAGCACACCTCTGAAAAGAGACAGACATCCTAAATTCACAGATATTAAACAATTATCACTTTCCTTACATCTATGTAAAACGTGCTCACCTCTCTGACAGCTTCAGTCTTAACTGCAAAGAAAGGTTATTAGGGGAACCCTATTATAGGTGCCCCAACTACATGTTAGCACCACAAAACATCCGTTAACATTTCTTAGGAGTGTTATTGGCATTGTGAATAAGACAACTCTTAGTATGTGGGACTACCTCTGACACTGCAGAACATTTAGCATTTTTGGCCACTCACTAAAAATCAGCAGTTTTTAAGGTCACTATGACAATCAAATTGACCCTTGATGAGAACCACTGAGCTAGGTTCTTCAAGATTAATATCTATTAACTTTATGACTTCCACAGAAAGTAACTGCACCATTACCTTCAGTAACAATGACTGAAGAGGTACATACATTTTTTTAAACATTGTAATTAAATATTATTTTGGAAAGATAAGCTGACTTCTTCAAGCTCACAGTAATCTGAAAGATTAGATGCACAAAGTGCAATACTTACTCATCCCCAAATGCACACATACATGTACAGGAAAATGTTTATGTTCTACAGGCATGTATTACTATTCTATTTATCTTTGTTAAAAAAATATGTTCATCTATTACAATAAGATAAAAACCATGTAGATGTTCTTGATAAGTTCCCTCATATTAGAGATTTCTCATGCCCCTTTGCATACCTTCTGTTCCTTCCTCACCACCAAGTCCCTAGGGTTCAGTCACACGGTCTACAAGATTTTTCAAAGCACCGTCTTTACTTTCATTTTTGTGATCTTTGTAATCCACCCCCCTGCCCCCACTCTCTGCATGATAGATGATGAAAAAGGAAACTCTGAAGAGAGAGAGGGAGAGAGAGAGACATGCTTCATTCTGATTCTTCACCTCATTTTCCTCTTAGAAAGTCCCCTACTCATCATCCAAGGTCTTACTGAAATGCCACTACTACAGAACTTCTCCAATCTTGTCTTTAAATTACAATGAACCACTAATTTCTGTTATCCAAATATTTTATATGTATCTCAATGCAGATATGATACCAAAACCGATTACCCTGCTCTCTGCCTTGAAGGTGGTACTGGAGGCTGACCACTAAGTACTGCATCAGCTCCATTCTCTAATTGCTCATTGGGTTCTGCAGTGGGAGGTACCAGCAGAGATCGAAAGGCAGGGGGAGAGAGAGCTTGGGATGCTTATGCTCCCTCAGCTATCTCCTGTAAGCAGTCATGGGTTCTACCTGCTGGCACCTTCCTATGGGTATAGCTCTTACCAAGTTCAGATGCCTCCTCCCTTGCCCCTTCGGCCTAGCTGGTAAGGGGAGAGGGCTGTGTCACCTTTTTTTCACTGGTTTCCTTAACCCTTTGCCTGCACCTGTGTAAGTAATTTCTTTATTAAATTCTCTTCAATTATTCATTTTGAGTATATCATCTATATACTTCCAGGATTTTTATGATACACCAGGCAACTGTATTAATCTGTTTTATTTCTCCATCTCCTTACTTCCCCCCCATTCTAAAGAGAAAGGATCCATGTCTAATTCATCTTTATAATCTTAACACATGCCAGGCATATCAAAGGCCTTCAATACACGGTGGTTGAATTAAATAATGCCGTGTTGGGCAAAAGGGGAACCTGACTCTGACCCTAGCTTAGGGAGTGCAGGAAAGAACCCAGCGTATTTTTCTAAAGATGGGTGTGTAGGGAGAGTGGAGGAGAACGGAATGGGATGCCCAGCAGGAAAGGAAACGAATACTGATTTTTGTGTTTTAATGTGCCAGGCATTCTACAGACTTTATCTCATTTAATCTTCATGATAATACCGTGAAATAGTTATGGCTGTGCCCACTGTACAGATGCTATTATTGACTGAGGTTATACAGCTAATAAAATTGCAGAGCCCAGGATTTTTAACCCAGGATTTGTCTGGCAGCAACGTCTGTCCCAAAGGGTGACACGATCCCGAGGCAGTTTGTAAGCTCGAGGCCTCAATCTTTAGCAGAAGCGGTTTTCAGAAAAAAGAAAGTGAAAGAAGCTCGAGGCGCAAGCCTGTTAGATGGGACGCCCCGGCAGTCCGGGCGAGTTGAGGAGGCCTGGGCCCGGCTCTTTCCCGCCGGTGCTCTGAGTCCGGGGGCTCCGACCCGTAAAGAACTTGTGCAAAGAGTGGCACGTGTACTTCCAGAGCGCGACGAGATCAGGAGCGTGCGGTCAGCTGGGCACCCGGGGGCGCGTCAGGCCTCCCAGCGCTCTTCCTCCGGGAGCATGGTGAGGGGCGCAGGGGACGGACGAGGAAGGGGGCAGCAGTGCTGACTGAGCCCGGGGCCCGCGAGACCCGGCAGACCGAGTCAGAGACCCCACGCCACGCAGAACCCTCTCTTCCAGCCGGCGCGGAGCACCCCTGACTTCCTGGTCCGGGAAGAGAGGGGAGCGTGCTGCATTTTTTTTCCTTAGCATTTCTGGTCTTTTTTCCCCCCCTTAACATGTAAAAGTTCTTTATAAAGTTTGAAAGGATGCGAATCCTTTATTTGTGGTATGTGTTAGGAGTATTTCCTCCCAATTTATTTTTTGTCTTTTGAGTTTGCTTAGGGTGGCTTTTTATTTTTTTTTTTTTTGCCATGCAAATATTTTAATTTTTGTGTGGCAAAACTTACCAGTCTTTTATTTTATGATGTGTAGACTTTTAGTCATATTTTACTATGTGACTTTTAGTCATACTGTCCCTACTCCCAAGTTACAGAATTCACTTATGCTCACTTCTAGTACTTGAACTGGTTTATTTTTTACATTTAGATGTATAATACATTTGGAGTGTGTTCTTGTGTGTGGTTTGAGGAGATCTATTTTTTTTTCAAATGCATGTCAAGCTGCCCCAGCACTATTTATTATAAAGGTTATCACTGCCCCAGTAACTTGAGATACCAGCTTTATCATGCGCTAGACTTTCCTATGTAGTTTGGGTATTTCTGGACCTTCCATTTTCGTCCATTGACCTGTTTATTAATCTACTTGAGAGAGGCTTTGCTGTATGTTTTCGTGTCAGGACTAGTCCTAGAGAGTGCTTCCTTGTCACCATTTTCCTAGCTAGTCTTGTTATTTTTCCTTATGAACTTTTCTGATGTATGATCAGTGTTTAAAAAAAGAAAAGAAACGAAAAGCTCTTTGGAATTTTTGCTGGGATTGCATTAAATGAATAAATTATAAATTACAGAGAGCTGATATCTTTAGGTGGTATTGACATGGTCTAACCCGAAGTGCTGTGAAAGATTGAAAATTTGAGCAGGTAGTGTATATGCTATTAAATTGTGAATTGGTGGGATATATGTAACAGCTTATCAACAATTGTAGATACTGGTACTTCATATCCTCTTAAGGAAAATTTGTCTCCAAATTTTAAGCTGGAAAGTCACTAGAATAACTTTTAAAAAGAATTACATGGCTTTTTAGATTTTTTTGTATGCATGTTAAGAATTGTGTACAAATCAAAATATCTGTGTACTGATCCTCTCATCACAACCACAGAAATCTCAATTATGAAAGAATATTTTGAAGCACATAAAAAAGCAAACAAAGGATGCTTTTTCATTGTTTAAGTCTACTTTTGTGCCTTCAAAGAGGTTTTATAGTTACCTTCACATAAAATATTTCTTGTTCAATTTTTCTTTTTTCTCAATATTATATGTTAGATTTTCTCATTCACTATATCATCTAATTATTTGCATGTATGTATGCTTTGATGTTTTCTTTCCTTTGAAAAATTAAGGTATAATTTACAGACAGCTTTTCTGTATTTGGAAAATTCTTACTTTTTAGTGTATAGTTCTGTGAGTTTTGACAAATGTTTACCGCCACTATGAAGATATAAAAGTTTTCTACCAATTTCTTTGTCTTCAACCTCTTCACTCAAGATGAACTCCTGGCACCACTATGGGTCAGATTTTGGTCCCTGTAGTTCCAAAATGTCATATAAATGGAATCATCCAGCACAGAGTCTTTGGAGCCTTAGGTATCACCAGTTTGCTATTGCTTTCTATTAATAGCTAAATTCCACTCTAGTCAGAAAACATATTTCTATTATTTGAGTTCTTGAAAATTTATGTATTGAGGGCTGGTCGCTCATGCCTGTAATCCCAGCACTTTGGAAGGTCAAGGCCAAGGCAGGAGGATCACTTGAGGTCAGGAATTCAAGATCAGCCTGGCCAATGTGGTGAAACCCAGTCTCTACGAAAAATAAAAAAATTAGTCAGGCATGGTGGCACATGCCTGTAGTCCCAGCTACTCAGGAGGCTGAGGCAAGAGAGACCCTTGAACCTGGGAGGTGGAGGTAAATCTCAGTGAGCTGAGATCGTGTCACTACACTCCAGTGGGGGCAAGAGTGAGACTCTGTCTCATGGACAGACTATGATCTATCTTGGTAAATTCCCAAGCGTACTTGAAAACAAAGTACATTCCTTCACTGGGTAGAGTGTTCTATAAATGTGTAAACGTCGATTCGGTGAAGTTGGTTGACAGTGTTCTCCCAGTTCTCATGTCCTTATTGATTTTGTGTCTACTTGTTCTATCGATTATTGAGAGAGGATGCTGAAATCTCCAACGATAATTGTGGATTTGTTTATTTTCTCCTTGGAGTTCTGTCCATATATTTTGAAGCTCTATTAGGAAAAAATGTTTAGAATTGTTTCCTCTTGATTAATTGATTCATTTGTCATTATGAAATGACATTTTTTAACCTTGATAATATTTACATTGAAATCTACCCAGTTTCTTTTTCTTTTAATTTAAAAAAATAATGATACAATACATATAACATCAGATTTACCATCTTTTTTTTTTTTTTTTTTTTGAGACGGAGTTTTGCTGTTGTTACCCAGACTGGAGTGCAATGGCACAATCTCAGCTTGCCGCAACCTCCTCCTCCTGGGTTCAAGCAATTCTCCTGCCTCAGCCTCCCAAGTAGCTGGGACTACAGGCACGCACCACCACACCTGGCTAATTTTTGTATTTTTAGTAGAGACGGGGTTTCACCTTGTTGACCAAGATGGTCTCAATCTCTTGACCTCGTGATCCACCCACCTCGGCCTCCCAAAGTGCTGGGATTATAGGCATGAGCCACCGCGCCCGGCCTAGATTTATCATCTTAGCCATTTCTAAGTATACAGTTCAGTAGTCTTAAGTGTATTTACACTGTCGCACAGACATCTTCAGAACTTTTTCATCTTGCAAAACTGAAACAGTATGTGTTTGTCTTTTTGTGACTGACATTTTACTTAGCATAACGTCTTCAGGATTCATCCATGTTATAGCATGTGTCATAATTTCCTTCCTTTTTAAGGTTGAATAATATTTTATTATGTAAATATAAACATATTTTGTTTATACATTCACCTATTGATGGATTTGGGTTGCGTCTACCTTTGGTTATTGTGAATAATAATAATTAACTTGAGTGTACAAATACAGTCATGCTCTGCATAATTAAGTTTCAGTCAGTGACCTACCATGTAAACAATGGTGGTGCTGCAAGATTGTAATACTGTGTTTTTACTGTACCTTTTCTATATTTAGATATGTTTAATACACAAATACTTGCCATTGTGCTACAATTGCATATGGTATTCAGTAAGGTAACATGCTGTATAGATTTGTAGCTAGGAGCAATAGACTATATCATTTAGCCTAGGTGTGTAGTAGGCTGTACTACCTAGGTTTGTGTAAGTACACTCTATGATACTCACATAATGACAAAATTGCCCAATAATGTGTCCCCATCATTAAGTGACAGATTACTGTATCTCTTCGAGATCCTGTTTTCAATTCTTTTGTATTTATATCCAGAACTGGGATTGCTGAATCATATGGTAATCCTATTTTTAATTTTTTTAGGACTGCCATGCCGTTTTCCATAGCAACCAAATCATTTTTACATTCCCACCAACAGTACAGAAGGATTCCAATTTCTCCAAATCCTTAACAATACTCATTATTTATTTTCTTTTTTTCTTCCTTCCTGTTGTCTTCTTTTCCCTTCCTTTTCTTCTCTTTTTCTTTTTCTTTCCTTTTTCCTCCCTCCCTCTCTCCTTCTCTCTCTTTCTCTTTCTTCTTTCTTCTTTTTGAGATGGAGTTTCGCTCTTCTTGCCCAGGCTGGAGGGCAATGGTGCAATCTTGGCTCACTGCAACCTCCACCTCCCAGTTTAAGTGATTCTCCTGCGTCGGCCTCCGAGGTAGCTGGGATTACAGGCTTGCACCACCATGCCCACCTAATTTTGTGTTTTTAGTAAAGATGGGGTTTCTCCATGTTGGTAGGGCTGGTTTTGAACTCCCAACCTCAGGTGATCCACCTGCCTTGGCCTCCCAAAGCATTGGGATTACAGGCATGAGCCACCGCACCGGCCCCTTACTTTTTCTTTTACAGCACCCATCCTAATGTGTGTGAGGTGATATTTCATTGTGGTTTTGATTTTTTTTTGCCTAATGATTAGCGATGTTGAGCATCTTTTTATATGCTTGTTATCCATTTGTATATCTTCTTTGGAGAAATGTCTATTCAAATCCTTGGCCCATTTATAAGTGAGGTTTTAGTTGAAGTTGAGTTGTAGGAGTTCTTTGTATGTTATGAATATTAACCTCTTCACAAATATATAATTTGCAAACATTTTCTCCTGTTCTGTAGTCACCTTTTTATTTTGTTGATTGTTTCCTTTGCTGTGTAGTTTTTTGTTTCACGTAGTCTCATTTGTCTATTCTTACTTTTACTGCCTGTATTTTTGGTGTCATATCCAAGAAATCATTGCCAAATTCAATGCCATGAAACTTTTCTTTTTTGTTCCATTGTCCTATATGTCTTCTTTATGCCAGTACTGTACTGTACTCTTTTGATTACTGTAGCTTTGTAGTATGTTTTGAAATCAGGAAGTGATATAAGCACAAAATGCCTTTATTAAATATTATTTAGATATTTCACTGTCTTTCATTTTCACTGTCCTTCATTGTTATCACCTGACATAAGAGTACTATAATGAAACTATTTTTGCTAGTAAAATGTACTTAAAATAGGCTAGAGAATTAAATTAAGAAAAATATGGGAGAGAAAAGGCAAAAGATTTCACTTAAATGTAAACCAGACCACTAAGTGATGATTTATCTTCTGCTTGCCTGGGTACTTACTGTTTCCCATGTTGACCCATTCCATCTTAGGGCAGTTCTAATTATTTAAAAATGTAGCTTTATGTTAAGCCCAAATGTGTTTTACTATAGCTCTACATACCAGT